CATCAAACAGCAGGACTAAGTGCGTGGCTCCACAAAGCCCTCTACTTGCTGAGCTCGGGGCCTGACTGAGCCAGGCCTAGGGCCGGTGGCCTCCATATCAGTCCCACTGACAAACTCCTTGTCCCCTCTCCTAGGTCACCTCCGTGAAGCCCCCTCCCCGCTTATGATACATTCCCCCCAGATGCAACAGTTCCAGAGCCTGACCCACCAATCACCGCCCCAGCAAAGTGTCCAGCCGAAGAAGCAGGTAAAGAGCAGGGCTGGGCCTCGGCCCCCAGGGCCAGGCACGGGCCAGGGCCAAGGCCGCCCGCCCACCTCACCGGCCGCCGTGCCTGTGCCGTCCCAGGAGCTGCGCGCAGCCTCCGTGGTCCAGTCCCAGCCCCAGCCCCTGGTGGTGGTGAAGGAGGAGAAGATCCACTCGCCCATCATCCGCAGTGAGCCCTTCAGCCCCTCGCTGCGGCCAGAGCCCCCAAAGCACCCGGAGAGCATCAAGGCCCCCGTCCACCTGCCCCAGCGTGAGTGCCCCCTCCACCCCCAGCCAGGGTTGGATGTGAGCTCTCTATGGGCTGGCCAGCCAACTGTGCTCGCCCAGTTCAGGAGCCCAGACCCACGGGCTCTTTGTATTTCAGGACCTGAGATGAAGCCTGTGGACGTCGGGAGGCCTGTGATCCGGCCCCCTGAGCAGAATGCACCCCCGCCAGGGGTCCCCGACAAGGATAAACAGAAACAAGAGCCGAAGACACCAGTGGCACCCAAAAAGGTAGGGACCATGGGCCCACAAGTGTACCTCGCCCCAAGAGGCATTCACATAGTAGCAGGGCCTCTCACCCACCCAGTGGTCTCTCTGCCTTGCAGGACCTCAAAATCAAAAACATGGGCTCCTGGGCTAGCCTGGTGCAGAAGCACCCCACCACCCCATCCTCCACAGCCAAGTCATCGAGCGACAGTTTCGAACAGTTCCGCCGTGCTGCCCGGGAGAAGGAGGAACGTGAGAAGGCCCTGAAGGCACAGGCCGAGCATGCAGAGAAGGAGAAGGAGCGGCTGCGGCAGGAGCGCATGAGGTGGGCGGGGGCTCTGCGGGCAGGGGCTCCTGGGGCGCCCTGGACCCTAGGCTGACCTGGAGCCCTGCTCTGCTCAGGAGTCGAGAAGACGAGGACGCGCTGGAACAGGCGCGGCGGGCCCATGAGGAGGCGCGCCGGCGCCAGGAGCAGCAGCAGCAGCGGCAGGAGCAACAGCAGCAACAGCAGCAACAGGCAGCTGCCGTGGCTGCTGCCGCCGCTCCCCAGGCCCAGAGCTCCCAGCCCCAGTCCGTGCTGGACCAGCAGCGGGAACTGGCCCGAAAGCGGGAGCAGGAGCGAAGGCGCCGGGAAGCGGTGAGTCAGGGTCCCTAGTGGGGACCCCTAGGGGCGGGGGTCCAGCCCTGGAGGAGCTGGGGAAGGGGACCCTGAACCTGGAGGGGTGGGGGCATCACTCTGCAAGAGGTAGGGCAGGCAGGGAGCGTGTTGGGTGGGTGCCTGGAGCTTGTCCACACCTGCTGGCTCTGGGCTCTGAGGTGGCTCGGTCCTAGTGCTGGGCAGGTACAGTGCCCTGAGGAAGCAGCGGATACTGGAGCGAGGTGGGGAGAAGCAAGGGCTTCTCACTCCCTGACTCCCTCCTTCCTCTCCCCTCCAGATGGCAGCTACCATTGACATGAATTTCCAGAGTGACCTGTTGTCAATATTTGAAGAAAATCTTTTCTGAGAGCACCTAGGTGACTTCTGACTTTGATTTTCTGGCAAAACATTGACTCTCCATAGTGTTAGGGGCGACAGTGGAGGCAGTAGTAGAGGCCAGGGCGAGTCTCCAGGCCTGGCCCTTGTGCATGCTACGCCGGGGCAGGCCTGACGGGCAGCTGAGGACCGCAGAGCCCGTCTGCCTTACAGCCAGCTGGACGTCCCACCACCCGCCACCCTTATAGGACGTCAGCTCAGAGCACGTCTCGCCACAAGCAAGTCTCGCCATGAGCAAGTGCCGGCCAGACCCAAGCCTGCGTCCCCGCGTGCGGGCAGAGGCCCTTCTCTCCGCCAAATGTCTATAACAGTATACACAGGACATCGTCGCTGCCGCCACCATGACTGGTTTTCTGTTCCTGAGAACGTGACGTTTATGACGTCCTGCCTGCTGGGAGCCCTTCTGCACACCCCAGCCTCCACAGTCTGCCCCCAGGAGACCAGGGCAGGCCCAAGCAAGCTGGAGGTGGGCGAGGGTGCCAGCCCATCCCCTTGCTGGCACTGACTTTGCCTTGAACAGATTCCACCCCTCCCCTCCCCCCACAAGCCTTTAATCGAGAGCCGCTCTCTGTAAGTGTTCGCTTGTGCAAAAGGGAATAGTGCCGTGGAGGTGTGTGTGTGTCCATGGCAATCCAGAGCGAGGTGACTGTCACGCACGTGTGGGCTGGCCTTACCCAGTGAGTGAGGCCACCAACCAAAGTCAGTTCTTTCCCACCTGTGTTTCTGGTTGTTTTTTTTGTTTTGTTTTTTTTTTTCTATATATATATTTTTTGTTGGATTCTATTTTATTTTTAATTCTTCTCCAGACACAATGGCACTGCTTTATCTCTGAAATGGTGTGATCTTCTCATTGGGCAGCGGCTACCACCGCACTGTGGGTAGTGTGTGACCGTGGCTGTACTGTATAGTGAAACATAGTTGGCATATCTTTGAAGTTTGTTGGTGACTCCACCAAACTGGTGTAAAAAAAAACTTAAAAAACCCACAAAAAAAACCTGCCTATATTTTACTCAGTTTCAAACTATTAGTCTATTTTTAATTATAAAGCCAGAACACTGCATTTTCTTCCTCCCCACCACCCCACCCCGCCACCCCCAATTCGTTGGCTTCTCTGTTTTCAACGTCAAATCTGTTTGAGTTGTTTTTTACCAGGAAAGGAAGGGCCAGGGGACAAGGCAGGTGCTGGGGGCCACAGACAGAGCCAGAGGCTCCCCACCGGCACCCACCCAGCCAGCCAGCAGCCCCTTCCCTCACTTTTTTTTTTAATTTTATAATTGGACCCCTTGGTGAGGTTACACGTGCCATGAGAACCCACTCTACACCACAATGCTGGTGCCTCAGTGTTGGCCAAACTCTGGAGTCAGTGACTGGTTTGACTTTCATACGGTGAATATGCATTTCGTCTGTACTGATCATGGAATAAACACATCTCTCTTTTTTAATGCTGGTGTCTCCCTGATATTTCTTTGTGAACCACCCGTTGCCTAGGCTAGTCCTGGAGGTCCCCAGACCCTAGGCCATGTCTGTACAAGAACTGCCAGGGGGCACCCAGCCCATCTCTCATGGTCTGTCCCTGCCGTCCCAAGCTGAAGCTGTGACAGGGAGCCCAGGTACCCATTCTCCTCTCCTAGGCAGGTGACATGCTCCAGCAGAACCTGGCCAGACTTCAGACAGTATTCTCCTTCACCCTCTTCCATCCTGTCTCCCACTCACCAGGGGATTTGGGCCACTTCTCCAAACCTTACCTGCCTCTACCTAACTCCTCCTTTCATTTAAGCTCAGGGTTAAACAGATATTCTTAAGATAAGTGTACATCTCCCCAACTAGGATCCTTACCCCCACACACAGGACACACATTCACACATTCCTGCGCAAGAGATCCCACCAGGTGGCTGCCCTGCCACCCTGCCTGTGTGCCCACTAGAACACCACAAGGTAAGGGCAGTGCCCAGGAGTGGCCCCTAGGTTATAAAACAAAAGTGTATCATTTACACGTATGCAGAGACAGAAACAAACATTTCTAGAACTGTATTAACCCATATCCCCCTTTCTTTTTTAACCAGAAAGGTACTGTGTATTGTGTTTGGGATCTGCCAAAACTCGGCTAGGGTGCATATCAGGCATCCAGGCAGAGACCACCACCACCCCACCAGCCCCTGCCACTGCACACCCCCATCACCCTAGACATTTCCTCATAAACCACTGTGCTGGTTTAAGTGTGACTTAAAATTTTGGTTCCTTGGGGCTTCTTTCATCTTGTCCCACCCCTTTATGTTGTGTTTTGTTGCAAAACTTCCCCAGGCCAGGTCCGACTGTTTAGCTGGAGAAATGATTTTGTCTGCACCTTCCTTCTAAAGAGTGAACTCTGCCATGGCCCTCTCCACACCTCCCTCATAGGTGTTTCTCTAACTGGGTTGTAATTAGAACTCGGATCTACTATTTAATTTCTCTGGCCAGTTCCCAATTCCTCCCACAGTACTAGAAATCTTAGTCCTATACAAGAGTGAGAGGTGTGTACAAGCCCCCAATGTACTGTATGCACGGATCGCTTGGCCAATAATTATGTCAGTGAACCTGAGACTTGTATTAAACACTTTAGACATTTGTAGAAGGGAATTCGTAGACTTTTCACTTATATACTAAAGTTTTTTTTTTTTTTTTGTGCAGTTCTCATTGCAAAAATAAACATTTGTACTGAATATAAAATTACCGTCCTGTGACTACTGCTGTCTTTGTTTGAGGGTAAAGCTGGGGCGTGTGGCGGGAAGGGGGTCAGTGTTGTATAGGAGGTTCCCAGGTGCCCACCAGCCATGCAGCCAGATTAGAGAATTTGGGAGGGATACCAGGGTCATCAAGTGGTCAAAAAATCGATGTAAAATACAGTGTAAAAGAAACCAAAAGTATGACACAGGCTAATCGTGCAAGAAAAGGTAATAAGTGCAAGGAGAACAAAGGTTTGTACAATAACAGGCAGTGTAATCATAGATGGCTAGTGGACTGAGTGCATTGTTTACTGAGACAGAACTACATAATCACTATTCTTTAAGTAGCAACCCATGGGCTTAATTATGGCCCTAGCACAGCAGTGTTTAGCAGCATTGACGATACAAAGGTAAGATTAACTGAAAGGTGAAAAGGAGGGTGGGAGCTGACAAAAGGGCATGAGTGGAGTGTTTCAAGTTAGAAGAACCAGTAGAAAAACTACAGATGGATACAGCATGTCCAGTAGTGGTGACATGACCCAGTCCATGGCTAATACCCAAATTGGTAATCAAGAATTAGGCAAGCACAAACTAAAAACATTCCCTTGGTGGCCACCAGGTGGAAGGAGAGGTAGAGTCCAAGGTTGCTGCTTTGCTCTGTAAATCCTGCATTGCTGTTTAGCCAGATGTATGACTTTAGGGCAAATAACTTGATCCCGAATTACAGGTTCGTAGTCGGTAATACAGTGATGTGAATAATAGCACCTACACTTAGTAGAGTTATAAGGGTTAAATGATGACCATGAAATTTTCAAGATCTTGGGGGAAGGTTGCAAAACATGAGGGGGAAGAAACTTCTATCCTGGACCGGCCCGGCTTCCTCTTTCGGCCACAGCCCCAGTGACTCAACCTGCCCAGTCCTCCTAGGAGTTAGTCTCCCAGCCACCACTGGCCGCCATCGGCGGAGCCCCGGCTTCAACACCTGCGGATTGGTCCAAGGGGGAACCTGTCGCCTATACGTCAATGACTGCCGCTGTCCAATTACAGCTCTGCAGGGGCGGGCCAACGGGCCCGCTAGGCCAACTGGAGGCCGGTACCGGGTCAAGGCCTCAGAACCCGCCGTTGGAACCAAGACTAGGTGAAGGTGCTGCTAGGTCTCTCGGAGCCTAGCCGAGGGGAGGGTCGCGCGCCCTAGGGCGAGAAGCTCCGGAGAGGCGGCGACTGGGGCTCTTGAGACCTCGGGCCGCCGCCGCGACAATCGTCGGCGTTACCCTCCTAACCCCAGCTGTGTCGCTGCATGTCCCCCTCCTTCCGCTTCCGGGCCTGCTCGACCCGCCTTTTAGGTTGTAGCCCCGCCTCCTCGTCTCCTTGGCCCGGATCCAGGCCGGCCTCCAGCTCATTGGCCCAGCCCTCGAACCTTCGCCCAACGTTACACCCTGCCTTATCTAGGCTCCGCCTTATCCCCCGCCCACCCTCCTAAGCCACGCCCACCCTCGCAAAGCTCCTGGGCCAAGTTGGGTCCACCATTCCGGCTCATAGGCCACACCTATCCTTGAATGCCCCACCCCTTTGCTCAAAGCTCCTCCCGTTTTACCCAGGGCGCCCCCTCTTCCTTGGTTTAGGGCTCTATCTCCCTCTAGACTTTAGACCCCCACCCACCTGCGGCGGGAGTACTACTAGACCACGCCCCTTTCTTAAGCCCCGCCCTCCTTTCTAGCCCCTCGTACCCCTTCTTCCCAAGGCTCCTCCCTACCTACCGAAGCCTTGTCCTCGCAGGCTCCACCCCCTCATCCTAGCCTGGCTCCCTGTGGCCGTCGCGCCCAAGTGTTTACCTGACACTCAGGTAAGTCGTGTGCGGTGACGGTTTTGGTCTGAGACGCCCGCCCCTTCTCTCGGTGCGTTCCGCAATCCCCGACAGCACGGAGGGACCCCAGGCCAAAGGCGGTGGGCCCTGCAGCCCGGAACCCACCTCGCCACTGCTGCTCGTGCCCCCGGCGGCCCAGACCCCCGACGGCAGCACGGTCATCTCGGGACGCGGCGACATGCCGGAGCTAGTGGTGACAGCGCTACTGGCGCCGTCGCGTCTCACTCTGAAGCTGCTACGCGCCTTCATGTGGAGCCTGGTGTTCTCGGCGGCGCTGGTGGCCGCAGCCGTCTACGGCTGCATCGCGCTCACGCACGTGCTGTGCCGGCCCCGGCGCGGCTGCTGCGGGCGCCCCCGGCGCATCCCACCCGCCTGCTTGAGCGACCCCGCTCTGGGCGAACACCGCTTCCTGACCCTCAAGGTGAGCGTGCGGGGAGCCATCATGGCTGCGAGGGTCGTGCAGCCTAGGAGGCTGGATCCGAGCGGGTTGAGCAGAGAGCAAATGGTTGAAACCAAATCTGGGTCGGCACAAGGCCGAGTGATTCAAGCCTAGGAGGGGTTCCCCGGGACTCAGACCGTGCCTTCCCTAGAGCTCCGGCATACGCCTGCACTATGTCTCCGCTGGACGTGGCAACGGACCCCTCATGCTGTTCCTGCACGGCTTCCCTGAAAATTGGTATGACTGAGGCCCTGAGACCTGAGTACAAAGGGATGGGTGGAGGTGGAGCTTGGACCAGCACAGCACCCAGGAGGCTGGATGAGTGCTGAGTATACTGAGGGCACAAAGGTATAGGGCCCAGATGGGGTGCTCTGGGACAGGGGTCTATATGAGGACACACAGGACAGAGGACCTAAGGGATGGGACAAGAGGGATCGATGTTGGCACTGTACAGGATGCAGGGCGCAATGACCTCATCTAGGGCCTGGGATTCCCCCGCCTCTTTTCTGGGAAGTCTAGAGCAGGAAGGTGAGGTTACCAAAGGGCGGAGGTGCAGCTTGGAGACCCTGACTCAACCTCTCTCCTTCTTCTGCCTGCCCAACAGGTTCTCCTGGCGCTACCAGCTCCGGGAGTTCCAGAGCCGCTTCCATGTGGTGGCTGTGGACCTGCGTGGATATGGCTCCTCCGATGCACCAAAGGATGTAGACTGTTACACTATTGACCTGCTGATGGCAGACATCCAGGATGTCATCCTGGGCCTGGGTGGGGACCTGTTCCTATCCCAGGCATGGCCTCCCCTACCGCTGACTGCCCTCTACCTGGTATCTCACTTACTCCAGTTCCTCTGATCCCCCAGGTTACTCCAAGTGCATCCTCGTGTCCCATGACTGGGGTGCACTCCTAGCCTGGAATTTCTCCATCTACTACCCATCCCTGGTCGAGCGGATGGTGGTGGTCAGTGCTGCCCCCATGTCAGTGTACCAAGGTGTGTCAGGGGGGCCGGGACACTTGATGTGCCTGTGTGAAGGGATGTGTGTTTGTGTCTGTACTTCTCCATCTACCAGTCAACATTCCAGGGGTTGGGGGTCCAGCAGTGAACCTGGGTCCCTTCCCCAGTGGCACTCCCAATTTACAATTATTGATAATACACTTAGGAGTAACTCACATTTTTGAGCACTTACGGGTAACAATTGCTCTCACAAGGAGCCTGAAACAATAACCTACGCAGGCCTACTAGGCTCATGAAAGTGTTATTATCCCCATGGTCCAGTTGCGGAAACTGAGAGGTTAAATGGCTTTCTTCTAGCAGTGAAGACATAGGTAACTAAATAACTACAATAGCATGAGATGCCATCTTCGGCTACCCAATGTTTATCACATCACCTGATTTTAATTCATTGTAATCATAGCTGTATGCTTGTTCTCTATCCCTATCTCTATCTCTCTGTCTCTGTCTCTATCTCTTTTTTTGTTGTTGTTTCTTGTCTGTCCCCATCTCTAGACTGTCATCTCCCTGAGGACAAGGGAGTTTTGTCAGTCCTATTCATTGCTGGGTCTCCAGGGTCTAGAATAGGACCTGGCACACAGTAGGTGCTCAATAAATGTGTTGAATGAAGCAGGGGAAATACATCCAGGCCTGGGCAGGGGAAGCACACCAGTGGCTGTGGGGGCTCTCGTGAGTGCAGGCGGAGGTCCCCCCATTCTGTGGATACAGTGATTACTCAGCAGGGAGGGAAGCTGATGCCAGGGCGAGGGGAGACATCACGTGTCCTCACAGACTCAAGCAGGCAGCAGTGGCATGCCTGAGTGTTGGCACTTCTGTGTGCCTGACCTGGGTATATATGGGAGTGCAGGGGTGTGGGGCCACCCCAGGCCCAGGCTTCATGTCTGTTATCCCCTCTCCCCAGACTATGCAATGCGCCACATTGGACAGTTCTTCCGTTCCAACTATGTGTTCCTGTTCCAGCTTCCCTGGCTGCCCGAGAAGTTGCTGTCCATGTCCGACTTCCAGGTGCGGTAGGGTGAAGGCCCAGGGCTGGGTGGAGGGTAATTTCTAACTGGGTAGACTGAGCACTGAAGCCAGAGCCCTGCTGTGTGTCCAGATTCTCAAGACCACCCTCACCCATTACAAGAGGGGTATCCCACACTTGAGTCCTAGTGAACTCGATGCCTTCCTTTATGACTTCTCACAGCCCGGTGGCCTCACTGGGCCCCTCAATTACTACCGAAACATCTTCAGGTGAGACCAGACCCAGGCGGAAGCTCAGGGGAGTTGGTAGGGCAGGGAATGGGTGGGGGCAGCCATCGTTCTGCCTGTCTATCTGTCTTGGCTACAGGAACTTCCCCCTGGAGCCCCAGGAGTTGGCCACTCCCACCCTGCTGCTGTGGGGGGAGAAGGACACTTACTTCGACCAAGGGCTGGTGGGGGCCATCAGCAGCCGCTTTGTGCCCGGCCGACTGGAGGCTCACATACTGCCAGATATGGGGCACTGGATTCCACAGAGCCACCCTAAGGAAATGCATGAGTACATGTGGGCCTTCTTGCAAGACTTGCTGGACTAGTGGCCCTCACTCACTGGCCTGCATGCACCTGTGATTCCACATAGCGTACATACACAGGTAGTCTCTTGGATTGTGCACAGATGTGAAACTCCTAGGTCACATACAAGTGCATCAGTGGGTATCCTTGGGAACACCAAGCCATATGCTCACACACAGGCGTGAGCGTGTGTATGTGTGAGCAAGCACTTTGATCCCAGGGAACCAGGGACACCTCCGTGGAGCTAGATGCTGAGTATCCTATCCATCCCTTCCCTGAGGCCCTAGTCTTCTTGACAAAGTTGCCCCTGCCCCCCACCCCTCTCCAAACCATAACTCTGACTTTTCTGTCCCTGGATTCTACCTCCAGTTCTAGGTCTTTAGCTAAATGTTGCTTTGTCCGATACATTACCGTTAGCCACATATGACTACTTCCATTTAATTTCCAATTAATTAAAATGAAATATGATTAAAAAATCAGTTCCTCAGTCACACTACCCATCTTTCAAGGGCATCAGCATAAAAAGTTCTATTGGATTGTGCTGATAAGGGTGTTCCTTGCCTGGCTCCTGACCACCTCATCAAGGGAGGACCTGCCTGGGCAGGCAGGTGGATGTCTAGCCCCTTCTCCAGCCAGGCCCTGGGCAACTCGCTCCCATGATCTCCCGGCGGTGATTCCAGGCCTTGTAAGGTCAAGTTCTGTCACAGTAGCCTGGGAAAGATCCCTGGGATCCTGTCTCAGATCCATAGGAAAACAGTTTTCAGCTTCTTTAGGATATGTGAGATTCTGGATGTGGCATGGGAAGGGACCAGCTTCCTGATTGGCCATCTGGCGTCTGAGGCCTGCCTCTCCAGCTCCTGGAATCATCTGCTCCACATTCACAATTTCTGTTCTTTCTGGGTGCCTAGGCTCCAGCCTCCAAATGAGGGTGATACAAGTCAGGGGTGGACCACCCCACCCCAGGCTAGTCACAGCATCAAATTCTATCTTATTAGCTCTTGCCTGGCCTTTGGGGACATTGTCATGACCTGCAGGGTGATGAATCTCTCTGGGGACACAGCAGGCCTCAGAAATACATTCTCATCTGTGGGATGGGCCTGCCTGGCCAAAGCTTGCCTTCCAGTCATCCCCCGCTGCCCTCCCTTGTTCCCATCATAACATCTTTTCACTCATGTGTGTCAGGCACTGGTCTAGGCTCTGGGGATAGTGGAACAAGAACACAGCTCCATTCTGGACTTAACAGAGAAAAGGTATCAGAACTATGTGAGTGTGAGAGGGGATTCAGGAAAGCTTTTTTTGCTAGGGACCACACTTTTGGGGAGTGGGGAGAAGTAAATAGGAAGGTAGGAATACGCTCTGGCTATTGGAGTAACAACGTGGAGATGAGTGGCTACTGGGGCAGAGTGAGGGAGGAGGCAACCAGACCGAGGAGTTTGGAGTTTGGACGGGATTCTTAAGAGAAGCCAGGAAGGGTTTTCAGCAGGGGAGTGACATGGCTTGCATTCTGAAAAGCTCCTTGTGGTAGAGGGACAGTCCCACGCAAGAGTGAGCAGGCAGACAGGCTGGGGCTGCGCGCAGCCTCAGCACGGGACGGTGACCAGTGCCAGAACACCCGGCCAGGGTGGGAGAAGTGTCCCTCTCGGAGCCCGGAGATGGGCCGGAGGAGACTGAGAAGGCGGGCCAGGGCGAAGATGCCTGCGGACAGGAGCAAGATGGTGGGTCCGACGAAAGTTGCCAGGGTGACGAGGGAAGGGCTGATGGTTGACTTGAACGGGTAGCAGTTGTCTGGGTGACCGGAGGGGCCCCGGCGAAGGCTGACTGGAGGCCTAGTACAGTTGCCGAGGCGACGGGGTCCGCTGACGGTTGCTAGGGAAACGAGAAGGCGCCATCTTCCGCCTCCGAGGTTGCAGGCGGGAGAGAGACAGGGGCGGGGGGAGGGGAGCAATCGCGTTGATTGGGCAAAATTCTGGCGAGTGAGCCAATAGCGACTCGTGACTTGGCCGAGGCCCGCCCCTCTTAGCCTCAACCAATCCAGGCGCGTGTTTCTTCAGGCCCGGGGGATCAGCGCGCGCATCACTATGAGCGCGAGCGGGGATCCACAGGGCTTCGAGAGGGGCTGCTGGGCCGAGCCCCTTCCCAAGCTCCACCTCTCCCTCTCCCAGCTCTGAGCTCTCGCCTCCAGCCCACCTTCCGTCATTCTCTCATGTACTCATTCACTTATGCACTCATTCATCTGTTTCTGCCACCAGCTCTAAGCCGCTGGCGCTGCACCAGAGAGGGGGAGGAAAGGAGTCGGGCACAGACATTTCCAGCCCAGTGTGGTCAGGCCCAAGTGAATGAGGACTGGGATGGTGCATTTACCTGGGAAGAGAGGAAGAGAAAGCTCCCTGGAGGAGGCGGCCTTGGAGCGGAACCCTGCAAGGATGTGCTCCCATGCACTGATGATTTAGCATTTCCATGAGACCAGGAGGAAAGTTGGGGATGGGAGGACATGCAATTGCAAAGGGCTTTACACACCAGGCCAGGAGCTTGCTCCCCAGCGTGCTGGGGGCCAACAGGGGAGAGTCCAGGACAAATCTGTGTGTCTAGAATATTACTTGGGGGCTGGACTTCTGGGGCAGGGACCTAAAAGCATCCAGTGGGTTAAAGACAAAGATGGCCCAGCGAGGAGCATCCGTGTGTGGTGAGGAGGAGGGTCAGTGACACTGGGAGAGAGGATGAAGTCTCCCCAGAACCATGGAGAACAAGACTGGAGACTGAGCCCCCGGTGCGCCCAACCTCTGAGGGACAGGCAGAGGAGATAAACCACAGAAGGAAGAGGAGAGGCAGGCAAGCATGGAGGAGGTGTCGAGGAGGGGGGACATAGCTCCTAGTGTCAAAAGGCACTGAGAGATTGGGAGGACCGAGCCATGCAGATCGTGAGGAAGGACACCCTGGAGCGAGAGCTGAGGACAGGGCATGGGTGCTATGAGTGTATTCAAACAGGGATGGGGAGAGAACAGTGGTGACCCCAGTTAGGAGCATGGAAGAAACTGGCATATTCAAATGAGGTGACTTGAGTCAAAATTGCTACAGGGACCATATACAGTTTGCAGAATTTGGGGAAACCAACTGGGTGAGCACCCATGGAGAGCCATTATCATCTTTGGGTCCCCCTGACTGAGCAAGAGGAAGGAAAGAGGTTAGTAGAGCCCAGCAAGAGATGTGTGTAGACAGGGCCTTTGGTCAAAGGACACAGTCCGCCCAGGTGACCCTACAGAGAGGGATGCAGGAGGATTAATATCCTATTCTCTCTTTTGGCTGCTTCTTCTGCCAGTGCCTCCGATTGGCCAAACACACCTGGAAATCAGAGGACAAGGCTGTTCATTGATACAGTCTGGAGAGGTCAGCCTCTCGGGGCATGGAGTGGAGTGGAAAAGGGAGAGAATGAAGCTAACAGGGAGAGATGTGAGGACAGAGACAGGAGCTTGGGGGCTGAGTGGGGGATGTGAGATGAGCGTTTGCTGTGAATTTCACTTTCTCACGGGAGACCTCAACCTATGGCCAAGGGAGGAGGGAATAAAAACCCCTGAACGGGAATAGAGGGTGAGGGTGGGGGGCACTCCCCTTTCCTGAAGCAGGAGAAAAGGAAGGGAGGACAAGTGCCACACTTTCAGGAAGAAAGACAAGTTTCAGAATCCAGGGAGGCCAGGACAGAAAATTAGGTGATATCAGACTGTCATAGTACAGAGATGAGCAGGAGATGGGGTCCTGAAGGAGGCCGTGGCCATGGAAGGCTGGAGTGGTCTAAGCTCAGGGCCTATGAGGCCAAGACATCCACCAGATGTCCTGCCCAATGGAGGATCCTAAGGCAGGGAAACCACAGTCCCCGAAAGGAGTGGGGAGTAGCCTATCCTCTTCCTCTGCCCAGATATGCAGAGCTGGTAGATGCTCCATTCAAGTGAATTTCCTTCTCTCTACTCGTGTTTCTTATATGTTTGGCTTTTACATCCCCTCCTTCTCCAGGAAGCCCCAGGAAGCCCCAGCAGCCCCTAGCCTTACTCTAACCCAGCCCTGATCTAATGGCATCTGCGTCCAGACAGGGACATCTCAAGGGCTGGTGCTGGGCACATACAGGTTTCAGCTTGTGGATCCTCCTTTGCACCAAGAAGTACGGAGCACGTTCATTAGTCACCCAACAATTTTTTCATGTATTGTGTGCCAGGTTCAATGGTAGACATTGGGGATTCAACAATGAGCAAGACAGACACCCACAGAACTCAGAATCTGATCTGGGAGCCAGGCAGGATCACACGGTGGGGCGGAAGTCGAGATGGAAGGAGTGGTGGGAGCTGAAGGCTAGAGGAGACCATGTGAAGCAGCAGGAAGCTCCCTGGGAGAAGAGATGGCAGAGCTTCCAGAGTGATCTTTTACAACCTTAGTCAGGTCAGCTTCCAGTGGCATCCACTGTGCTCGAGACAGAATCCCCTGGGACTTGGCCCCATCGGTTTCCCTGACCTCCCACCCTTGTTCACTCTGCACCTAGCACCCTGGCCTCTTCGCTGTTCTTCTCACTTACTCACCCCTTCCACCTCTGGGCTTTCGCATGTGCTATTTCCTCTGCCTGAAACACCCATCCTCTGGCTGTTTGCCTCGCTGGCTCCTTCTCCTTCAGGTCTCAGTTCTGATGTCCCCTCATCAGAGAGGCCGGTCCTGACCACCCCACCCTCACCCAACATGAAATCTCTCCTTCTCTCACGTCACCCTTGATGATTTTTATTTGTTTGAAGACTTATTTCTTGTCTGTTTCCCCTATCAGGGCAGGAACTGGCTCTGCATCGGTCCCCTCTACCTATAATAGGGCCTAGCACCAAGTAGGGACTTAGTAAATGTCAAAAGACTGAATATAAAAGAGCTGGAGGGTCAGAGTGAGCTGTCAGGTGAAAGGAGCCTCTGGGTATGAGAAGGGAGCTTACAGCAGTGGGCAAAACCCGTGCAAACATGGGGAAGCCTGGAAGACAGAGAAGTGAGGCTAGCGAGGTGAGAGGGGTGTCACGCTTGGCAGTGGGGAGCCATGGAGGGTCTGAGCAAGAGAAGGGCCTTGGGAGGCAGTGGCCAGGAGTCCAGGCTGGGTCTGCAGCCCACAGCCCCTGGAGTCCAGCCATCCCACTCTTGCCCAGGACCTACACCCGGCAGCCCTCACCCTTGCTGGTTCTGGTTGGGCTCCCATGGCCCACTGCTTGAGTGTCAGAGCCTGGCCCCAGCTTCTGTGCAGAGGGCAGGACTGCGGTCCTGGGAGGAGAAGCCAAGGGCACATTCTCAGGTTCGTGGTCAGTGGGCCTGGGCCCAGCAGCTGTGTCTTGGCCTGGCCCCAGGTCCCGCATCCCTGGGGACTGAACTCATTGAGGAGAAATGTAGTCCCCAGCCAAGGCAGCCAGCAGCGCCCGGAGGGGGGGTGAGGGGGGATGGGGCAGCAGTTCAAGCCTCCCTACCCCCACCA